AAGCATTAATGCACATACCCCCTCTTTTAAGTCTTCCATTGAGATAGAGCATCACCCACCAATCAGCTTATCTACGCCTACGCACTAATGAATTTTTTAATTATTGTGAATTAAAAATTGGAATAAAAATGAAATAAAAATTCACTAACAGCTCTAAAATCAAAATTTATCACTCAATATATCTTTGCATAATGTGATTTTTTATCTTTGCTATGATAAGTCACTATGACTGCAGCTCTGGATGGTTTACTATCATTCCTTATGTTATTATTAACGTCATTCTTTTTCCTACAGCTCCTGAAAACCTTTAAAACAGGTCCCAACAGCTTGCTCATGATATTCCTTGAAAGAAAGACAAAAAGAATAGCATTACCAAAACCTTGAGCTGGATCACCAATTGCCTATAGATATAGATACAGACATGATTATTGCAGAGTATCAAATTTTAACATGTGATCAACACATGCCACACTTCCAACAATACTTACAATAGCACTGTAATAACAATGTTATCTTAGCACAAATTCTTACTAATAGTTTGTACTCCCTCTCTCTCACTTATCCTTACATGCAGTGTCAGTATTTCTTTATTATAAAGCAAGTTAAAGCACTCTGGCTCGACGCAGAAAAACCCGCTGTATTCTTTAGGGTGAGAAGCATACACATGACAGCTACTCATCATTGAGATAAAGAAGCGGAGGTTTCCCCAAAAACGAAGCAAGAGGAAAACTAGCGGCACAAGGGCTAGTCTCCAATCTGCCTTTGATATAGCTGCTTGCACGTCTCTCATTCCTTTAGCAGGGGTAGAAGGTTTGGGCTTGATTTGTGCATGCCTTGTTGTCCACTGCCCATCTTCATCAGACTCAATTAATGAGCTCTCTTCTGACTTTAACTTAATCTAAAAATGATAAAATCATTTAGTTTTATAAATGTATTTTGCAGTTCTAAGATATAAAGCATGATTGTTACTATGCCTGACAGCTATATAGTATAGTACATTCTAACTTAACTCACTTTCTTTCTGCACTTGCATCTATTGGTAAATAGTATGAAACAATAGCAGACTATAATGACAAAAAAAGCCAGCATCTCCCAGAGTTTCTGTGCAAATAGTTCCCAGAGGAAATATATAACTACGTTTTGATCGTGCTTTGTCTTGTTACGAGTCAGAACGAATTTGTTCTCAATAAAACACCAGCCAACAGAGCTCCTTGAATCACCAACACCAAACTTTCTATGTGAAAGGACGTAGCCACATATTATGATAGGTACAGCCCAGGCACTGAGACAGAATGGCAGCATTAATTTTCTGGCCAGCCTCAGATTCTTGAGGACTAAAATAATAAAGAAATAAACTGCAAGAAATGCTGTGAGGAAGAAAGCCACGCATTGGAAGTAAACTGTAAAAAATGCCTGGACTTCACAGAAATTCTTGTACCCTGTGTCGTTCCTGACTGCAATGCTGAAGCTAGTGGTTATCTCTCCATTATATTCATGATCCTTCAGGAAGATAAAGTGTCTTACCACGGCTGAGATAAAGCTAGCAGCAGTAAATAAGTCTGCCACTGCTAGGAGGAATATAATTCTCCTTGTGTTTGAAGCCCTCATGTCCCTCCAGATGAAGAAAGGTATTATAATTGCAGTGCTTCCCAGCACAGATAAAATGGAGGAGACTAGTGTAAAGGGGAGAGTGTCTTTTACTTCTGTATCTATACGGGAAACATTGACACAGCTTTCGTTGTAAATGGACTCCAGATATTCATCTATAGCTGCTGCCTCCTCTTCCATTTCTGCAACTAACAGCTTTTGAGCACACGCCTACCTAGCCTATTTAGAATACAAAAATTTTTCAAAAATAAGTAGGATTCCCTCTGCACTATTTAATCATCAAAAAGCAGCACAGACAAGGGCAAGTAGAACTTTGAACGACTGGCCATATCCATACCAACAACAATCCTACTCTTCTAGAGTATTACTTCTCATTATACTTCACACCATAAATAGTGATAATAATAATAATAATCATTAATTGTACTATAATTTATAGTAATAGCAATAGTGTACAAAGTTTTTACTTCAGCATGTATCAATTACAATTACATACATACACACACACAATCACACATAAATGACACATTATTAATAATTATATTAGAGATCCCAATCAACAAAAAATCTTTGTCTTTATTTCTTGTGGCTGCTACATGCATTTCCAACGCCACAAGCAAAGATCAAAATGGTTACAATGATGGCAATGACAACAGCTAAAATAATCAGGAAGATACAGAGCGATAGACGTCTATTACATCTCTAAAAATAAAGAAAAAAGGTCAAAAATGTTCCTTCTTTCTTTCTCTTACTTTATATCTGGCAGCTGCTCCTAGTTTTACTCGACCTGATTCAACCTCAACGGCCGCTCTCTCAACATGAGCTTCAATGTTATCTAACAACAGTACAGCAAACAAAGGTCACATAAAATATATTGTAGTACAATCTGATGTCTATGAACATAGCTATATCTAGAAATTAATCTTACTAAAAGATGGGCTAAATATGAAAGACAAAAAGCTAAAAAATCGGGGGATTTGAGGATATATACGAGAGAGCAAAAGTCTTCTAAAATCCCTCTAGATCTATGAATGCTATAAAGTACAATAGCCTTCCTTACCAATGGTTTCTCCTTGCTCCACGACCATGTTGTTGATGCTGTTCATTATGTCTTGCAAATGGAGCATTTCAGACTATCAAATAAAAGAGTACAAGGTACAAGAAAATCAAATTAATGCCAGCAAAGAATGGGTAGTTTGACTCACTGCTAGATTTTCTACAGCTTCAGCTCTTTGCTCAGTGTAGGAGACGTGAATCTGGTCTTGCTCATGCAGCTGCTGCTCTGCCTCTAATATTGGAATGGTGTCATCAGAAGCAGATGTATTCTGTTAAAAAATTTAAAAGCGAATAAAAGAGAGAGAAAAATAAAGCTACAGCTTACGACGACGCTGTCAGTGACACGCGGTCTGGGATTCTCCTGTAGACGACCGACGATCCTCTAATTAAAAGAAATGTACATGTGATGTTTACGAGAATATTATAATCACCTCGTAGGCTTGAGAAAACTCGTTAGCTGTTCTACTGAAGTTCTTTTGTAGTGACTCGATAGCAATTGTGTGTTCTCTCTAGTGGAGAGAGAGAGAGAGAGAGAGAAAGAGTGAGAGAGAGAGAGAGAGAGAGAGAAAGAGAGAGAGAGAAAGAGAGAGAGAGAGAGAGAGAGAGAGAGAGAGAGAGAGAGAGAGAGAGAGAGAGAATACTGTACAAAGGTTTATACTACAACATACATCATTGCTTCGACCATAGCGTGTCATTAATGTATTGAAAGTCTCTGTGGTCGTCTCCACATTTTCAAAAGCTGCTTTCCTTACAGCAAGACTAAACAAAGAGATAAAGGCCACACAGTCCTACCAGCTTTACTTACATTCGCTGCCTTAACTCGGCGTCATCTTGCCTTCCTCCAATTTTTTTACACAAAGACTTTAATTCATTAGCTATTAAGAAAATAAAATGACTATAATATAATCTGCTCTAATACATTGTATCTATTCATGTATATAATTCATTCAATACTCAATACTATTATACTCCATTTGGATAGGAAAAGGTAAACATTAAGATGTGAAATATAAACTTTATTGTACAAAAGTGATTAGAATATAGCTACAATACAATATTAAGAACCTAAGCTTTTAGTCTATATATTGCTTGTTAGTATATTTAAAGTTGCTAAAAATCTGGTCAAAACAGGGACATAGTCAAATTTTGCCAAAATGACTAGGAGAGAATTCTCCATTTTTATACTTTTTTTTTCTGATTCTTTTGCTCTGTAGCAAATTTGAGCTAATTGGATTTTTTACAAATTTTTAAGCAATTTAAAAATCAGGCAACATTCCCATTATTATTATTATTACTATTATCATCAACCACACCCACTAGTAGACATTCAACTTACTTTGGCTGTTAATTTCTGAGCAGGCGTGAGAAATGGTGTTACGCATTCGATGAAATTCTGAATCTAAAAAAGAAAATGGAAGAGGGAGGGAAGGTGGAACAAAACTAATAATATTCATGTATTGTTCTTCTGCAATTGCACAAAAATGTATAAATTTGGTATTTACGGACCTGAACCAGAGGACTCTCTGCTAAAACCACGTCCACCCTGTCCAGATACACTGCCATAATTTCTCTGTGGTCCTTCGTCGAATGGGTTCGCCATCATGTGATGTTTTTGCAAGGCTAGCCACACACCTTTTTAATTAATCTAAACCCCACCTTATTTCATAACTCGACACGTCTTTATTTATAACTGACCTCGCCTCACTCATTTTTAATAATCAAACTGAGCATGCGTAGAAAAACAAGTTCTTTTAGGCACGTGGTATTTTGGGTTCTTTCTTTCTTCGTGTAAAACCTTTAAAAAATAAAGTTATAGAACCATTTGAAATATGCAGAACGACGCA